AGGGTACCTTACCAGGCATTTGGACAAGACAAACACAGCATGATATTTCTTATATAACCCTTATGGGTAATCCTTTGAATGGCAAATATCAAATTTTGTGGTGAACTTGTACATTTAAAAACATATTGAAACAATGTAAAAAATCACAAGAGAATGACAATTATGCGTTATTTTTCATATAAACCAATAAATACAAAATATTTATTTGAAGAAGATGTTGTCTGACCTTAATAAGTAAAATCAGACTTTCACAATAGCCTCCAGTTTGAACAGTACAGAAAAACATGTCTCAGACCAAAACTATTAACCTTCCTCTATAATTGTTTGTTTTATAGAAGCTCTAAGAAACGTTTTACAGTTTGTTTCTAACCTTTATCCTAGAAAACAAAGGAAATTGATATCCCAACGAAAATTTGCAGTAATGCCTATATTTCAATATTCTGTGTCTGCCAGTAATTCAAGCAAAACAATGGTTATTATGATTGCGTGTCTATATTTTTTCTCAGATAGATTTAATTTGAAATGAAATAATGTAAAATTACGGAAATTACGGAATAACCCAACAACGCACAACTTGCTCCCAGCACTTTTCAAAATAGTAGGTACAATAACTACATGTGTTTAAAAAATCTTAATTTATAGTTAAGCAGATATCGCTGAACTTTTGAGATGTTCGAAAGGTTGTGCCTGTGATTGTAGTACGTTTATGTGTAAATGTGCATGGCGGCTTTATAAAAGACCTAAGTCATCTCTGTTAGTACAGCGATATCAAGTTGGCTTTAATTTTACATTCAAACAGTGTTATAATGACAAGATAAGTTACACATTAATATGATTATGTTTACTATAATTATGAGAAATCACTGTATGTAAAAGTGTATGAAAAAGAAAATTATTATTTTCTCGCCGACATTCATTTGTGCAGTTTCACCGTGACGTCATAATCGATTTGCGTAAGCTCTGTATAGACTAACATACCTTTGGTAGTCCTTAACCTGGCTGTGCGTCTTTTCAAATGAAATTTCTCTTCCTCTCTCTTTTTTCATTTGGTAAAAAATTGTCCTTATTGCGATTTTTGAATATAAGATTTTGATATACGCCGAGGATTGTTTTAAAAACAAACGATGTTATTCGTAACATCGCATCCTTATGTACGAAATGGATCATAAACCCCATTTCATAATTATTCATTTGTTTTTGTAACCACAGGAAACCGAAATACGCAAATCAAAACGTTTTATAAATTTAAACTTTAGGCCTAATAATCATTTTTGTTGCCTTAAGGATATCCGATCCTCAGCCAGGAAGGATAACTCCAAAAATTAATATTTAATTTGAAATGCATCAAAATAAAGCTTGAAATGAAATTTTTTCATGCAACAATTTTCATTTATTCAACTTTATAAGATTCAAGTTTTTTGAAGTCTTAGAAAAGGTCTTATAAAAGTTGACATTTGTACACTATAAAAGGAAAAAAATTAGTAGAGTCTTAGAGTAATAAGATTTTCTTGAATTCAGCCTTAGATACCAATGCTTATTAGCATGATATGAAATAAGAAGTAATTTGTGGTGTCTTGCAATGATAGCAAAAGCCTTTTACACTATGTATTATAGAGTACATGACGGAAATAGAAGACAAAAAATTCCAAATAAGTATATAAAATCATGACAATTTCTCTGAATGCCTGGATACCTATTGTTTTTTAACCTAAAATATATTTGCTGATCAATTTGCAATTAGAAAATGCATTGCTGATATTCCAATTCACTTTTTCTGTAAAAATATTGGAGATTTGACAGTTTTTCCTATATAATATGATTTACATTCATCTTTAACTTTAAAGAAATACTGTGTATAAATTTACATAACTTTGTGGATTCAGAGATACTTTTTATGAGTAATTTTTATTACTTAACTGCTAATTTTATAAACCTGAGGATCGGACTACCTTAAAATTTTGCCAACGGGTACCCGAATGTACACTTTTGGAGGTATGTTTTCTGTATTTTTCCTGTAAAAGCCATTGAGATCAGAATATTTTTATCTCATTTGTAGCACAATGTTGACCAGCACGATCATTATGGCGGTCTACAGTATGGCTGAAAAATAGCTTCTATTTACAGTTACAAAATGAATCAAAATTATGTGTGTTTTTAAGATATCTGTATCATACAGCGAAAGATTTATGAAAATTACGAGCATTGCGAAGATATAACAATTAAACTGCACTGTAAAGCAAGAAAAGACTGCACAATATAAGTGTAGCAAAAACAAAGGTTGTATCTACTGTTTCGTTGTTTTCATATACATGTATGTCAAGGTCACCCGCCCCCCTTTTTTTTTAGCTCAAACTTGTAAACACCAACACTTGTTTTGACAAGTGGCCTCGCTGTTAAAGAGTTCATGTTCGAAGGAGCAATTTCCATCCACGAATAAAGAAATATTATAGAATTATTAAGCCGTGTAAGACTCTTGAGAATTCTTTTAAATACTTTTTGGGTATTATATCAGATGAGATCGCTTATGCGTTATACCCATGATGAACCAACGCCATTTAATACTTACGGATAGTGGTCTTTGATCTTAGTCATTTCCTGAGTGATAATTGAACATTCTAATTTGCAGAAACTTTAAAAATAAGTAATTGTATCGTCATCGATTGTCCGAAAACATAACCTTTCGGTGATATTGTATGTTAAAGGAACATCGAGGACATCGTTGTTGTTATAAAATTCAGAACGAAGAGGTGATAATTTTGGGAATACCAAGATATACATGTACTTAGGAATCAGGGCTGGGTTTCACAAAACTATCATAAGATTTGTCCTAAGATAGATCTTACGATCATCTTAAGATCTGACTTATGACAGATTTGTCACAGCTGTTTCACAAAACTATCTTAAGTATAAGAAATCCTAGGACAACTCTTAAGAACGCGATTATGAGAACAATATATTTCTTTCCATAAAGTTATCACATCCATCCTATAGAGCTACCAAGGAAAAGGCACAAAGATAATTTTCTCCTGTCCTTTAGCGCAAAATGTTTGTGTCACCCCTTTCAAATAGATTAACCCAGTATTTTAGAAATGCGGAAAAATATTACACGGATATGACCATATAGGGAATTGCAAAGAATGAACATGTGTATGTAAGAAAACCAAAGGAAGTAAACAAATCACTATTTTGCACCAGCTATATGATGTAATACAGTCATATGATTAATGAATTTCATTCCATTGTATCTTAAAGAAATGTAAGTTATTTATTTTCCTATTCGATTAAATGAAACAAGAATTATGTATTATTGATAATAAAAATCATATTTATTTCATGTAATAAATAATGATAAAGTTTCCAAAGAGGGATTCGCCGCTTTTGAAATGTTTTAATTGAATGTTGTGATGATTATTTTGTCTCAAAATTGCTAAAGAGGAAGAAATTGAACATTTGTTTTATATTAAAATAGTCATAATTGCTCTGTTGTAAGACTCGTTTAGTTTAAATATCATACTGTTATCGTCAGAGTATTATTATAGCTTTTAGTCTTCACGTTATTACATAACTGGTACATGATAAAAGAAAGCAATTTTTAGATTTGAGGTATAAAAGGTTAGAAATCAAGGTCTAAAACAAGATAGTGTAATCTAAGTTCTGTACATCAAATCCATTCCTTATGCAAGACATTGTGTTTTGAGAATATAACATGTTGCAAAGAGATGTATTTTTTTTCTGCATTTTAATATCTGTTGAAATTATTTAATGTATCTTTTCCAAAGAATTATGAATACAGAAACAGAACCTTTGGAAAATTTCAAAGTCTACATCCAGCTGGTTATGAACTACTGTTGATTTAAAATCATTCTATCTTTTGCTTTGAAAACGCATAGCTTTAAAACAAATTATTTGTTTTATCTTTATGATCTTTTTTATCGCATGTTTTTGAAAATCATTTACGTTTTAGTTAATTTCAAAATGGTAAATCCCATTCGTGTCTACACAGATTTGTAATGAATGATAAAAAAGAAAGTTTTTTCTATAGATTTTTAAAGCTTTTAACCCAGTGGGATAGCAGTTCATCATGGCTTATTGTTTAATGAGGAAAAGAATGAGTTGTAAAATATTATTTTCATTCTATATATTGAAGTGATAATGTTCTTTCATAGCTACAGGTTAGGCTTAGGGAAATGTTAATTGTAATGGTAATGCATTGCAATGCGCATGACTTGAACTGAGAGTAATGTTAGTAATGTGTAATGCCAAAACAATTTGCATAACATGTAATGGTGACGTAATGCATTACTTAATCAAATCCAGAGTAATGCTGGCATTGCGTAGTATTACTTGTATGTTCCTGTTTTTAAAAAAATGAAAATGGACACAGAAATTATTATTTAAGTTATTTTTTTTTATTACTGTAATGATAGAATTGGATGAAAAAAGTTAACCTATTTAAATAAACTCTCGCTATCTATTAAAATACACTTTTTATTTTGTTGAAAGAACAATTATCATATATATTAAATTTAATCACATTTCAGAGAATTATTTAGAATAGTTTAAGGTACACTAGTTAATGTACACTGTAAAAATGATAATTTCCACTTTTTGAATAGCTAGAGTGTCATCAAAATACACTATGCCTCTGGAGTTATGAAGCAATTAAAACAATGCATTGTTTTGAGAAGTGTCCGAAATTACCAGTCCCTTTCTCATGACTGTGTTTATAAAACATTAATTGAGCTGGTCTAGTTTGAACTGATTAGGACAAATCCATTGTACCAAAAGGAATAAAAGACATTCAGGAATTCTACGCTTAGCAGATCAAATGGTATATACTATCCAACTCTTTTTTACAAGTTTGTCAATTCATTATTTATTCATCACTAGATCTAAATAATATATGCTCTTTTATTACATACATGTACTACAGGCCATACTAGGGAATTTGTCCTGTCATACAGACATCTGAATTTATCTCATCAGTTGCTAAGTGTGCTCCAAACAGTATGTCGATGAAACAGGAGATCTCCACAGTAGAGTCAATAATCTCTGTTCGACCATTAGGACCAAAAAACTAAATGAACCCGTCGGTGAACTTTTCAACCTTGAAGATCACAAATGGGAGGGCATGACAGTAGTGGTGATTGACCATAATCTAAGACGCATGGACGCTCAGAGAAAAAGCAAGGAAAAGTTCTGGATGCACAGATTAAAGTCATTCCGTCCTAATGGTATAAACAAACTAAATGACTTCACCAGGATGAACGTGAACTAGATCCAATTCTGTTGGTAATAAACAAGATCATTCTCTCTCTATAGTGTAAACTCTACAGTTAATTTGCGTTACTAACGTTAGAACAACCCATTTATTGCTTACACTAATGTTTACTACTGAATATTTCTTTTTTCTGATAAATAGTCCTAAAACATTTCTAAATATAAAAAAAGATCCAAATTCATATGTTAAAATATCCTTTTTAAAAGTTGCAATTGACTTTGCATTTGATAAGATTAAATGGCTTCTTCGTCACTAATATAATGAGCCCAGAACTTTAATTAATTACGGTAAGTGTTCATCTATTTTATTCGTAGTTATTTTATTTGTGATATTTAAGGCCTAGGGTTTACATTTTGCAGAAACTTTTAAATTAAGTGATTGTAACGCCATCACTTATCAGCGGCCAAGAAAGTAAGACATGAATCTATCGGTGTTATTTTGTGTTTCCAACAGAGCATCAAGAGGACATCTTTATTGTGGCAAAATTCAGGGAATGAATAGGTAACGAAACATTACATATTTCGTGGAATATTATGAATAATTAAAGAATCAGGGTTGAAAACATTTTTTTATATTAAGAAATGAATTTTACATCACCCAAAATTCCTCTTTGTCACATTCTTTGAAATTATTTATTCATTTCAACTAAATGTGAATGATAAATGTTAATATATTTAGGATTTATTTAATGACATTTTCAATTGCTTTTAAAGAATGTTTTCAATTCAAGGTCCTGTCGAGGAAATGGCAAAATACCAGCCTTTAATTAAAACTATGCAGTAAGGAAATCCGTCCTCAGCCATGGATTTTGCTGGAAATGACTTGCAAAATCAGTCTTCAACCGTTGATCCTGAATTGTTTATCGAGAAGAACCAGACTCCTACAACAGTTTTCAATGGGAGTAATATTAGAGAACCAGTGTTTAATCAGAGATACTTTATTATTGCAACTATTGTATGTGTTTTTGGAACTATCGGAAACATAGTTACCATGACTTTGTTTATAATTCAAAAAAAGATTAAAATACCGACATTTACTGGAATTTTTTGCTCTTCCATTGCTGACACATTGAATCTTATTCTCAGATATTTAATTATTTCTGGAAACATATTTTTGTGGGTTTCTTCATTTCAGTATATATATGGAATTTCTGTATTGGCCTACGTGGCTTCTAGGTTCCACCTCCTGATCATCGGTATCATCCGTTATATCTATATCAGTAAGCCGTTTTACAGCCTAACCTTTACGCACACTAAGGTTGTCTACATGTCAATTGGGGTGTGGATCTCTTCTTTTGTAGTGGCGGTCTTGTACAGCGTGCATCTGTATATGTTTCATGAATATTACATGACTCATTCTCAAAGTGTTATCGTTGAAATATTTACAGGCTGTCTATCATTTTTTGGATCTCTAATACCAATTACAATACTTCAAATCATAAATATTGTAAATATCCGAAAAAGTCCGACAAAATCTGTTGTTACTTTTCAAAAGACCATGTCTGCAATGTTAGCAGCTATAATAATTTTTTCGACTGTAGCTTACCTCCCAACCCTTGTTGTGAATGCCCTTTATCTCAGTGATATTTATTTCAGCTATGGAATAGTAAAATTAGCTTCCATTTGTCTGATGTTAGGTTGCACCTCAAATCCTTTTGTGTATTTCATGTTTTCAAAGGCGGTTAGGAAATATATTTCCAGATTTTTATCATGTAAGTGTTTTAGAAGTTGATACCTCCGACGCACATTTAGCTTTATATAAGCTTTGGTGGATTTACAATGTAATTCTTTATTCTTATTTTTGTTTCTTTTGTATGCAGGAAATAAAATAAAAGAAGAGAAATTGTTCGTTTTTAAAAATTTGATTGAATATCTTTACCTTTGAATTGAAATGTTTGGCATCCTTATTTTTTCGGCCAGTATCATTTGCAGGGAAACGTTTGATGATATTTTCTCCCATTTTAGAAAATTACAAATCCAAATTGTAATAAAGAAAACATAATGTATTGGCCCTTAGCAAGTGAATAAGTGTACATGTACATGTAATAAGCTCGTAGTATTTATAAATAAATCAATTTGTTTGTATTCTAGCCTCTGATTGGTTAATTAATATCCAAAAAGGAACGCAAATTATATCTGTTAAACCTGGTTTGGTATGGGGACACCTAACCCGCTGACAACAAACTGAATCTTCTGTCTCCGTGCAATCCTCTCAATTCCAGTCCTCGTAATTCATGGAAAATTTAAGATTTCAATGCACCTTTAACTTCAAAAAGTAATTCGATCTTACAACATGTAAACAAACAAAAAGACTGCGACGCCTGAACATCAGAAATAATGATATAGATTTATGGAAAAGAAATTCATTTAAATAGCTGAATTTTATAAAATACAATAAAATTTATTGCGCAAAAATATGATTTATATTTAAATATTTCCTGCAAATATAAGTAAAAAGTAATCTAAAAGAGCAAAGTTGCAGATGAGCAGGTGTTCATAAACTACTGTTTATACAGTAGTAATATTCCTAATCGGTAATTTGTTTGCACAAAAATTCTACCTATTCGCACATAAAATCTTACCTTTTCCTAACTGATTTTCAGAAAGTGGGAATAGGTAGAATAATAGCACAGTATAGTAGAATTTTTTAATTTAATAATAGATCCGCTCATATTATGAGGAAAGCTTTCTTAGTGTTATTTGAGTTGGGTTAGAATTTAATGTAAATAGATCGAGATCGGAATATTAGTTTAAATAATAGATCCGCTCATTGTATGAGGAAAGCTTTCTTGCTGTTATTTGAGTTGGGTTAGCGAGAATTTAATGTAAATAGATCGAGATCGGAATATATAAAACTCTTCTTCTTTTCCCTGGATCCTAAAATGAAAGATACAAGAATGTTGTAGCAGACAGAATTTAAAGAAATATATACTTTCAATCACATTTGTGTCCGACATTGACGAGGCAAAGGTCGATCGGTATAGTTCTCACTCGAATGAATCCACTTGGGGATAAATGGCTGAAAAGCTAATATTATTAAATGCGAATAAAAATCGCAATCGTCAGAAATAGGTGCGAAGGAGGAATATCATTCATACTGGGACTCAATTCAATCGTGATTAACTGATGGATCGTATGTGGTTTAACATCCCTCTCGAGAATCTTTCACTCATATGGAGACGCAACCACTTGCTGTGGAAGGCTACAAATTTTTACCTATACTCTACACTCAGGACCATTGATTATCAGCAGGGAATCTTTTTCGTGGCTGCACCTACTGCGACACGGGACCTCAATTTATACGGCCTCATTGGACGTACCGGTCTTCACGTCCCACAGTGAGATTCGCACACGAGATGTAAGGATCAACTCCTTACTCCGCGACTCTAGAGCAGACGCTCTAACAACTGCGCTACGAGGGCGACGATTATATTGTGACAGTAGTGATCAAACATTGTGTAAATTGATTAACTGTTAAGTAACTTTTGGAAATTATATGTGACGCGCCAAGCAAAAACCTCCCTTAACGAAGAATTTTGACATTTTCAGTGTTTTATTGATTCTTGTAGAGTTTTTCTTTCTCTTTCATTTGATATATAACATGACATACATTTCTGTATATAAATGTTTAAAAGACTGCATGATAAAGACGGAATATTTACTTTGACGTATAGTGTACGCGTGCGTAACTGCATGAATTTTCATAACGTAAAATCGTAAAATGACGCAAAGCTATATTATAATTTGATGATATTTATATTATAATATAATACTTATGATTTTATTCCCTTGAAAGTATCAACAATTAAGAAATTTTCATGGTAATAATAGAAAATAAACATTCTAAAGTATATCTTTCAGAAACGAAAGACGGGGGGGGGGGGGGGGGAAAGGGGGGGGGACCGAAATGATCGTCAAGGGAAAAAAAACAAAACCCAAGACAAAATCAAAAATCTTCTCTTCCACTGGAAGATCTTCTAATTTTTGGCTTTTTAAGGCAGTAAAATGGCAGAAATCTACATCACTGCAACAGTAAAATAAAATGAGCAACATTTAAAGACGTACATCACACTGGAGGAGGTAACTCTTGCGATTTCAATTGAACGTTTGACGTGACGTCAAATTTAACGTCAAAAATAAAGCGTCAAAACGACGAGTAAAACGATCCCGATGTATATCAATTATGAAAGAAAATTGGGATATGGGGCTTGGCTGTGATTGTGCGTACCATACTTGTATTTTTTAATTAACCCGATTAAACTCCGTAAAAAGTAAGACATAAAATACCATCCCTTAATGTTTATTTCATTTCATTTCATATACAATGAATTGTATTTTTGATCAAAGCGCAGCATTTTTTTTTATTCTGAAAATCTTATTTTACATTGCTGAAATTCTCATTATGTATAATTGGCTATATAACATTCCGATTAATGGTCTTCATTACAATTTGTGCATTTACGATATAAATATTGTTTTTCTTCTTTAAGTAAATAAAACAACAATAAATAAACAAAAAAACTTTTTACAATGTAAAATCGATGTTGTTCTCAGACCCTTACTGATCAAAGAGGAACAACTCTGAAAATGTAGGAGATGTTTATTTTTCACCCTTTATTCACGGTTTTCCACAGAATCAGATACATTTACAGCAAGACCTGATAAATCCGAGAATTGAATACTATAGACCTCATATACACAATGTAAGTATAGAATTGAAAAAAATTGTTCACTTGTACTGAGATTATCTGCATTTATGAATATCCTATTGCAGCAAATCGCTTGACTTTCTGTCAACAATGTCGGTTCGCATTTCCTCGAATCAAAACAAATCGTAGCCTATAAGATTTTTAAAAATATCAAAGTGCGATTTGATATAAATTGAAATAGATGAAGAGTTTAATGTTTGATATTTTGAAGTTAATGTGGACGAATACGGAATTTTCATTTTAACTTTAGAAGCGACGACATTGAAAGAAATGCGTACAATATCATAAGGGGTGTACATCTATGCAAATGTCGATGTATCCCAACGGCCACATACTGTTTCGTTTGAAATAATGACATGAAAGAAACTACAATTATTCCATTTATATCACAGGAGAGTTGAACATACACATTTTTTAATGAATAAAATTAAAGAAATAAAATTAAAAATCAACATATTCAAGTTCAACAAAACTTGAATTCGTATCCAGGTTTCATGTGATATGGAATGCATAACGCATACATATATGGACTAAACACTGAAATCCTTCAGTAATTTTTTCCTGATACATATAAAAAGAGTAGTCATTAGCCGCATTCATGAATTTAAAAACTAATGCATACCTCCGGGATTCAAATGATGAAATACCAGTATATATTTACACTGTAAACGACGTTTCGTCAAACGCTAATGGTCTGCGACGCAAAAAAGGAAGGGGTGGGGGTGATAGGGGTATTCAAAAATTGCCTAAAAATCTACATTTAAATACGCTTTACATATGAGAAATTTAAATTTGTAAGTTAATATATTTTTGAAGCAAAAGCAATATTCCAATTTAATTTTTTTAATGCGTATTTGTAGATTAATATAACAAAGTGATCGACCCCGTCTGAAAGACGCGCGGGAACGTGATTTTTTGAGAAAGGGGGAGGGGGTAATTTTCCGCTATTAAATCAAAACTGGTCGTACAAAAATTATATAAAAAAATCATGAAGATTATTTTTACTACCAGCTACCTAAAGAAAGTTTTTTGCCAAAATTAAACGACAGGTTTTTTCACAAAAAAAATTTGAATTTGAAAAATACGCAATTTTTAAGGCTTAGATAATTCATAGTTTTTCATTTTAAGGTCTTTAAAAATTATTTTGATGATATGTATATCAAAAAGATGACTATGTTTTTGTGTTAAATGGTTAAAGGAATAAGCCAATGAAATTTGACATTTACATCTAACCTGGCTTTTTTGAAAATCAAGGTTTAAGTAGTTCATTGATTAAAAATTTTCTCTCCTTGTAAACAACTAATATAAAGGGGGGTAACTTTTGGAAGTTCCTGTCCAAAAAC